ATGCGAATCTAATGGATCCAGGATCATCAAAGCATACTTCAAAACAAGGAAAGAGGAGATCATCATGAATATCATTCTGTGCTATCCGCCTGCAACGATGGCAATGAAGACGGTGAAAAGCTGAAGTTAATTGTCGAGAAACTCCCAACAAAGGACTTGATCATTTTGATGGAAGACCTAAGCGACATGGTTGGAATGGATAACAGTGTATATGAAAACATCATGAAACGGTATGAACTGGGCGAAAGCAACGAAAACTGCGAGATATTTGCAAACCTATGTGCTTTGAATAAAATTGTAGTGTGCAGCATCATATTTTCACACAAAGCCACATGGGTTTCACTAGATCATACTACACAGAACCGAATCGATCATATCTCCATCAACAGAAAGTTCAAGAGGACTAAAGAATACATGAGAACAAAGACGAGAGCTGACATGGATGCAGATCATCACTTGGTGGTCACCAAGATGATACTGAAAAGCAAGAAGCACTGGGAAACTGGTCGAACAACATCACAAAAGTTTATTACGGCCTTTCTTCTGGATACAGGAAAGCTCAACGAATTCAAGATAGCCTTCAGTAATAGGTTCCAGGCCTTTTACAATCTACTCAATGGAAAGGAAAATACCATGCAGAACAGTTAGAAAGGGGATCAAGGAGGAAATCACTTCAACATATTAGGAGGTTCTGGGCAGCAAGAAGCACAATCACAAGGAATGAATCACTGTTGATACACCGGGTAAAATTGACGAGAAGAGGAACAAGAAGGCAGCAATCAGTATCAGCCCAACAAGATAAGAGAAAGCCGAGGCAACATACACAAAGTAAAAACTTGATCCTTCCATGTTTCACAACATGCATCATTGGTGCACATGGTGGATCTGATGCAGACGTGAAGGCGCTAATCGGTAAAGCAAGAGAAGCATTTTTACAACTGACCAACATCTGCAACTCGAAACAACTATCAACCTACTACACCAAAGTCAGAATTTTCAATACAAATGTTAATACAGTCCTACTATATGGGACGGAAACTTGGTGTACCACGAAAGCCATCATTCAAAAGATACAAAATGCTGATCAACGATTGTCTACACAAGATGCTGAGAATCTGTTGGCCAAACAAAATTTTAATGAATCCTTTATACTACTAATTATGCACTTCAAGAGTGTTAAACGAACATTGAAAAGAACTCTTAGGATTTTAGTATACAACTAGTTGACACTTGAATTTAGCATACTGATGAAACGACACAATAAAATTGAAACTTTGAATGGTCGATGATACTTTTAGGCTAGTTAAAAGCTAATTGAAAAAAAGAATATAAGCGAAAACATATATTCTCCATTTGAAATGAAATGACGTTCTGTGTGGAATAAAATTCAAGCTATTTTTATAATTATATAAATTTATGAGTATATTTATGGGAAGTGCATTAACCTTATGAAAGCTCTCTAATCGAACAATACTCATCGAATTAGAGCTTATATTGAACTGTCATCGGATTCCTTTACTTCAAGTGGTGTCCGTCAGGGATGTCCACTCTCTCATTTTTCGTTCAATTTTGTCATAGACATGCTGCTAGATAAAATATGATCTTCGTCTGAATTTTCAGGAGTAGACCTTCTACCAGGATATTTACTGGTTGGCTTAGCATATGCCGATGACATAGTTCTATTCGGTGAAGAAGCTGACAAAATGTAGCGTCTCCTAACTACCCTAAGCAACAATGCAAGCGCGTTCGTAATGCAGTTTACCCCATCGAAATTCTGAATGTTGCACCAGTACTTGAACTAGTGATAGGGAGTGAAGTAGTTTAGCGTGTTGACCGCTTCACTTATCTGGGGAGTCTCATCAGTGCTGATGGTCTGGTGACTGACAAAATCTCAGTACGGATATAGAATGCTCGATTGGCTGTTGCCAAAGTGCGTCACCTATGGCGTAGGCGAGATATCCGTTTGCTGACTAAAGGACGAGTATACTGTGCAGTAGTTCGCTCCGTCCTACTATATAGCTTTGAAACATGGCCAGTGAGAGTAGAAGATATTCGTAGGTTACCGGTTTTCGATCGTAGGTGTCTCCAATGCATTGCTCGAGTATCGTGGGACACCCGAGTAAGTAATGCTGTTATTAGGAATCGGGTGCTTGGTAAGAATGGCAGTTCAATAAGTGAAGTAATGAAACTCCATCAGCTGAGGTAGTTGGGACATGTGCTGCGTATGCCTAACCACCGACTGCCTCTACGACCTTTGTTTTGTAGTGTAGGGGTAGGTTGGAAGAAAGCTAGGGGCGGCCGACAAACCAAAACATGGCAGAAATCCATAAAGTCATTGACGAATGGACTGAGTCACGTCGGTAGTTGTCGACTACGTGGTTGGGGTCCGCAAGATGATAATAATCGATGGTTAGAGACCTTGCATGACATGGCTGAAAACCGTTTGCAATGGCGCAGATGCATTCGTTCTTTGTGTTTTGTCAAATTCCAATCTTATGAATTGCTCATCACCTTTGTCTTTTCTTTTTATGTTTGTTCACTAGATTCTACTTATGGAATAATATCTTCTAATCCTGATCTCCTCGATTACTGCTAATACTTCTACTACCTCAACTGCGATTGGATGTGAAGTGACAATTGCATCTCAGTGTGCTTATGTGGTATGGCAACTTGTAATGATCTGCGTATGTACGAATTTCTTATCCTCACTAATGACTGGCTTTAAGATACGAATTGTGGAGTACTCACGAGAAGTGATGGTTTTAAACTATGTCAAATATGAAACAGTTATCTAGCTTAGATGATACAAAAAGGTTGCATATAATCGGGAACTGATTCCTGTCAGACATGAATCCCATCAGGTAGGGTGGCCCAAAGTGTCTAGAGAAAAATTAAACATTCCAGTGTAAACCTAAAGGTTGATGGTTTTTTTTACTTTCTGTGATGCGTCCCAAGCTGTACATTGTTTCAGCTAAGAAAGCTTTCATAAAAAAATTTCTGGTTTTCAGTGGTGGTTTATCTCTGAATAAGATTTTTTATAGTACAATCTCTATTTAACAACATAAGGTTAATAACACTGTAGTGAACGAGAACAAAGGTGGGGCAACCGAGTTCTGTTGAACGAGAAATTACAGAGTTACTCAGTAAAATTGGAACACCATATCGTAAATCGTTAATTTGCAAAATATCAGTTCATCATATCGAACTGGACTGTTTCTGTTGCAAAACATCAATCCATTGTCTGACATTTCACTATTCATGCGTTTCATACAAATTCCATTGTGTTCTGACTCTTCCTTTCTTGATCTTACCCCATATTCGGCTGCCAGACATTAAGTTGACACTCACGTCATATACTACTTATAAGAAGTAGCTCGCACCACAACACTACTAAGCTCACTCACTTACTCATTTCCTCAATCATAGAGATGCTCCAACTTGAGTTACATTTAACTAGAATTTATTATTTTTTTTCGTTTAATAGAAAATTACAAAAGAATGATGATGTTACAGTCATAGTTATGCAAAAAAAAACTTAGATAATGAAACTAAAATTTTAACTGAGATATCAGGGTATTATGTATATGTCCTTAGGTAGGTGTATGTTAATTATCAAAATTAATGTTGACAATTTGAACAGTTAATTGACATTGATGATGATCGTAAACAATCATATCCAAATGTGGCTGATACCTTAGTGATTGTCAAAATTATAATCACATAAAAATTACAGTTTAATTACCAAAACAAAAAGAATACAATGTATGATGATTAATTTGTGAAGCATTACTGTAATCATATCCAATAATATACTTACTTAGTTGATTTATATGATGGTTGTTATGGTCAACATAACAAGATGAGTATAAATATGATGATCGAATATTGGAAATAATGGTAGAGTAGATTTTTGAGTTAACGAAATCAGTAAGTTTGGTGTATCATTTTATGATGATCGAATATTAATTTTTGCTAACTTATTATTACTAATGATAAACTATGATTCGCGGAGTTCAAACCTGACTGGTGTAGGCAGTCAGAGGTTACGCAATACCTAGGATTGATAGAAGGTGTAGACATTAGCCCTGTTGGATGACGGATTAATCATATAGATGTTAGGCGTTTGTGCACGAAACCAAAGGTCCTGAGTTCCACTCTTGCGAACGAGATTAATAGACGCTTACTGGTGATAAGTTCCATACAAGGACGAACTGGCCATTCAGTGTTTTCAAGTTTTTAACAATAGTCCATAACATCAATCGGTTCATGATTTTTAGCATTTTACTAATTATTCTTTGCATGCAAATAAAAAACTATCTGTTTCGTTAAGATCCACGAATAATCAGTATTGATAGATTTCGATAGATTTCGAGTATTTCAATTAAAAATTTCTCTACAAATAAGTCACTTATCATAATAATTCCTTATCATAACATTCGTACACAAATAGAATTTGTTAAGTTTTGACTAAAATGTTGATTAGTCATTGAAATATATCAAGCTAACATAAAATATTTTGACCATTAAATATCGTGTATATATATATAATTTACAACACCTATAGTTTCTTTGAAATCATGAATCGATCAATGGCAGATAGCCATTTGGAATTCCGAAACACTGAACAGCAGGATATACGTCTTGGTATGGGACTCGTCAGTAGTTCGTATCCACAAATCCAGGACCTTTGCTCATGCACGCTGACGCTTGACCTCTAGACCACTTACTAGGCATCTAGTATTGTTAATTTCTAACTTCGATCAACCTCATCTACTGTCTTTGATGAGTACTGCTTCATTCCCTGGCCATGGCTTCTCACTATAACTAAGCGAAACTTCTTCGCACAGCCTAATCGCTAGTAAACACACCTTTTGGTTTCATTCAACGATTAGGCTTAAGCGATACTATCATCCACGACACATTACATAGTAATATTTCCATATTTATTATGTAATTAATGTCTTAATGTTTTTGTTTTCACAGACAATCCCATTCAAATCATGCAAATACACAACAATTCAATAACATTTCAATTACTATCAATGATAGCCATATACATAATGATATTCAGTTGTTCACAATTAGTTAAAAGTCTCAATATGAATAATTTGAAAACTAATTTTGGTAAAGTAGCAGGTTTTGAAAAAAAAATTGGACAAGGCATTCAATCGATAAATGGTGCATTAGGAACAGCTAATTTGTTAAATTTACGTAAACGTCAATTACAAATGAAAGGTGGATATTCATATGGGCAACAACAACAACCAATGGGAACTAATTCTCAATCATTTGGTTCATTTAAACAACAGAATGGTTATGGTCAATCACAAATGATTAAACGTCGACAATTATCGAATTCAATGCAAGGTTACTATTCACGTGGTCAGCAGCAGCAACGTCAACAGTCTCAAAAACAACAACAGCATCAGCAGCAACCTCAACAACAATATTACTCGTCCAGTACAATGAAGAAACGTTATATGAGTGGAAAAATTATGCATCCTATACCGAATGCTTATTATAAACTACCTAAAATTTATGATTCTATAGAAGAAATGAAGGAAGGAAATGGACAAAACGGTTGTGGACCAAATGGAATGTTTAGTTCTGAAGAAGGTGAACTTTCTGAAGAACCAGTTTTAGGTGAAGTAGTGAAACGTAAAATGAATTAAATTTAAATTACCAATTCCAATGGACAATAGACAAATGTTGACTGTTGATCTATTTCTCTCCATTTTTTTTGGCTTTGTTTAAAATTAAAATTAGTTTTTACAATGTTCATTTAAACAATGAATTTTTTATTGTTCATAGTATTCTGGGTTCTTTTGCTTTTGGAATGATGGTAGTTATATTAGTAAATGATAAAAGCAATTTCATAAAAACTGAATGAGATCATTTGAATGAATGAAAGATTTTTTAATCTATTCACTCACTAGGTTGTGTATTCACAAAGACAAGGTTTATTAGAATTGAACACGTAAGAAATTAAAAAACACTCACAATAATAGTATATCTTTAAGCTTTATTACGAATTAAAAATGTGAAGTGTGATGAATCTTAAGATTTAGTGGTATGTGAATATGATGATTAGAAGTTAGTGAATCAAGAACTAAAGATATGCACAAACGAATGTATTGTATTTAGAATTCGAAATCAAGCATTCCACAACAACAACAAGAAGTTACTAGTTAATTCAAACACCACATCCGCCACAGCTTAAATTGGAATCCAGGTGTCTGTAATCAATTGTACATCTTCTTCTCAAATTCATCCTGTGTCTGTCCAACAGTGTATTAGATAAAGACTCTGTATTATCTAGAATGCTCTCATTAGTATTAGAATTAACAACCGAAATTGGAACAGACTCACCTGGTTCCTGGAATTGTATTTGATCAACATGTCGATTGTGTGTACTTAAGTCATTGATATCTAGAAGTCGCACCATAGATTTCCCGACATTCTTCAGAACAATCCCCGTAGATGGTCGAAGATCATTGCCACGATAATATGTAACTTCTACAGACTCCAAACATCTCATATTCGACCGAAGAATTCTTCCTTTTAATAGTTTTGATGGAGTCTCTTTCGTCACTGAATGTCTGGCATTTCTATATTGCAGTAGAAAAGTATCTACTCCCCTCTCAAGCTCATTAAATGTTGAGGCGGCAATAGAATCAATAGCAGTTTTCAACGTCCTGACAAAATTTTCTGCCTGACCATTGGAACAAGGATGTCTGGGAGCAGTAAACAGATGTTTGCACCCTATACCATTTAACCAGGTAGTAACTGCATCTGCAGCAAAATGAGTGCCGTTATCAGTCACTAACACCATTGGAACCCCTTCTCGACTAAACACCTTTCTTAATGCTTGAATTGTGAAGTCAGAATTTGGTGAAGTTGTGAAAAAAACTTCAGGCCACTTTGAAAAAGAATCAATGACTACAAGCGCATAGTATTTGCCAAGAAACGGGCCAGAATAGTATGCATGAATTCTCTGCCAGGCCTCAGACGATACTGGCCATGGAGTCCACTTCGAATGCTGATTTTTCAGCTTATGACACTTTTTGCAATTCTTTGCTGTACGACAAATATCTGCATTTATCTCTGGCCACCAACACGTGAGCCTCGCCAAGGACTTCATTTTCTCAACACCTAAATGTTCACTATGAAGATCTTCCTGGACAGCTTTACGCAATGAAGGAGGAATAACAGCCCGATCATTTAAACACAAAATACCATCAGGAGTAGTGGATAGCTCATCCCGCTTTGAATAATAGATGGGGAATCTGCGTTTCAGACTAGCATTCCAACCTTTCCATATAGTATTAATTATACATCCAAAGTTTCTACAAGTTTCTCTAATGAGATCTGGACGTTTCACTGGTAAAGGTTGCACCAACAAACAGTCTGAAGTATTAACAGGTTTATCTTGTAATCACTGTTGAGAAATGTAGTCAGCATGTTGAATTTGCTTGGCACTCCTGTGCTGAACCGTATAGTCGTAGGCGCTCAAAGCAATACTCCATCGTTGAACCATAGCAGCTGAGGCACGTGCTAAGGATTTTTCAGGATGATAAATAAACTGTTAAGCCACATGATCAGTAACAATAGTGAATTTCTTTCCGAATAAATATTTATGAAGTCTTTTAACAGCCCAAAACACAGCTAATGCCTCTTGCTGAACAGCCTTGTTCAGTAACAGTAAGTTTGCGTGAAACACAAATAACTGGTCTACCTTCCTGTTCCAAAACTGCGCCAATACCCACAGGTGATGCATCAGTGATAAGCACAGACTGTACACTAGGGGAGTAAGTTCGAAGAACAGCATCACTTTGAAGAAACTTTAGTAGACTACGTAAGCATGACTCTTGTTCCTCACCCCATTTGAATGAATTGGATGTCAAAATTTTAAATAAACAATTTGCACGACAAGAAAAATTAGGATTAAAACGGGAATAGTATTGAAGAGCACCCACTAGTGAACGTAGTTCCGTAAGATTTTTTGGAGACAGTGCATTTGTCAGTGGAGCTAGTCGTTTCATATCTGGTCTAAAACCATTACCATCAACTAGGTATCCAAGACATTCAAAACTAGATACACAAAATGAACACTTATTTGGATTTACTTTAATATTCTTCTCAATTAAACGACGCAATAAGGCAATAAGTCTCTGGTCATGAACTACCTTATCAGAACCATGAACAATCAGATCATCTTGATAAACTTCAACACCTTCAAGATCGTTAACCACCTTATTCATAACTTCCTGAAATATAGCTGGAGAACAACTTAGACCAAATGGAAGGAAATTGTATTTAAACAGACCAAAAGGAGTGTTAATTGTCGTCCAAATAGATGAGGATTGATCTAAAGGGATTTGAAGATAATGGTCTTTTAGGTCAACTTTTGAGAACACTTTAGAACCATGAAGTCGATATAGAATATCTTCAGCCTCTACCGTCGCACATGTTTGCTTCAACAAACGGGAGTTCAATGTTAGTGTATAGTCACCACATATTCTAGGAGTCTTGCCATCCGATTTCAGTGACGTAACAATAGGAGTACCCCATGCAGAAGAGTGAACCGGTTCAATTATACCTTTTGCACACAAATCATTCAAAGTCTTATGCACTGCATCTCGAAGACCATAAGGGATTATTCGTCTTTTGAGAAAGACTGGATCACCCTGTACTTGAAGTTTTATAGGCTGGATTTTCATACCTCCACTGCACTTAGCACACGTGGCTATCTAATCTTTAAGTAAAGCATCAGAATTTTCTTTAGAAACTAGGAAAGACAACTCCACTTTAAGCCTTTTCAAATTCTTTAAACCAAGTATTGACAGTCCTGTTTCGCTAACTAAGAATTAACAAGGTATGTATGAGGAATTATCATCTCTCATTAGCAATTCACAGAATCCTCGTATAGGCAGTCCGTGTCCAGTAATCCCCAATATTGATACTTCAGTGGGTCGAACCACAACGTTAGGATCTAACGATTTCAAGTTATTGAATGAAATAATGGACTCTATACTGCCTGTGTCCACAATAAAGTCATGACATGAACCAAGTGATGTATATAATCGCTTTTGAATATGAGCAGTACCTTTCGAAATGGTAAACAAAGATAAATGATCATTAGGATCAGCTGAATTATTGGGATCTAAATTACAAGATTTAGTACTACTTGAGGCAAAATGAACAGTAGCTTTGCATACTGCTTGAATGTGTCCTATCTTACCACATCTAAAACATTTAGAATAGGAACCTCTGTTAAACGAACACAATTTTGATTGACGCTGAGATTGTTTTTCATCATGACAACTAATCAAAGTATTAGAAATCTTCATCGACTGAATATCAAGTTCATTCAACGCCTCGTAATTAATGCACGCAGTTTTAACATCTTAAAAGGAACAGTTTGACATTCTTAACAGCTCTCTTTCCAAACTAGGTATGTTAATTCCTGCACTTAATCGGTCTCTCAGCTGCACATGAAGTTGATCACCGAAATTACATTTGACAGCTTGTTTCTGCAATTCAAGAATGAATTCCTTTGGTCATTTTGACGAATCATCTTATGAAATTTCGCTCTTTCACGGCATTCAAAACCAGGGCACTTTATATGATTCAATAATAACTCCTTTAGCATTGCATAGGGAAGTGAGATAGGTTTTTCCGGATATGCCAAAGATTTTAATAAGCTGTACGCTTCTTTTCCGATGAATGTCAGGAAATGAGCCATAATTTTATCATCTTCGACATCTTTCCTGGTCATACTCCAGATTTCAAGCCTTTCCCAATAATCTTCAAAAGCTTCAGAAGTAGAATGAATATCTACCTGTTCCATTACAAGTTCCATCGCGACGCCAGTATGATGATTAGAAGTATGTGAATCAAGAACTAAAGATATGCACAAACGAATGTATTGTATTTAGAATTCGAAATCAAGCATTCCACAACAACAAGAAGAAGTTACTAGTTCATTCAAACACCACAACTACACAGACATTTTCATCTAAATTCATCACATACAACAACAAAACTGTTGTCCTCTATTCCCCCATGATCATAATCATCATCCTCATCACCACAATCGACTATGGAATAAAAGTTAGTCAACAACACACTCACCAATACCAACCTCCTTTCAGACACATTAATGTTCTCGACCTAACACAATAACTATTCATCATGTTATTTTCGATGAGTACATTGTCAAATATCGATCATTTCTATTTATCCGTTTCATTGCAACCAACAACAAAAGAAAACGCATCAAAATAACAACTTATTATCCACAAAATATATATTTTATTATGAAATGGAACAAACTGAAATTATCAGAATGTGTTACTTGTGAAGTAGTTCAACTAAAAAGCAACACTTAAAGTTCATTGTAAGTATGCATATTACATTGGTGGACCAACAGTTACAGGTTCATAATACTGTTGATCTGTATATGGATTCTCTAGTTCATACATTGATGGAGCATCAGTATGAACATTCGGTCCATGTGCATAAATTTGTTGATCTAGCATCTGATAGTCTGAATACATAGGATAACGAGTGTTTTCTCTATAGTTTCGTAATGCTGGTCCTTCGAATTCATAATTAGGAGATGGATGTTCGCCATTCCCCCCGCATTGGCTCTGTTGGACTTCGTAGTCGTACGAGGTTCCAGGGTAGGACATTATTGACTCGTAATCAGGTATTCTGTTAAACATACCCCTTCTTCTCATTACTGCACACTCCACTTCATCATGGTACACAACCAAAATTAGCAACACACTCAAATATATGGGCACCTGTTTTATCATCATTCCAATCGATCTAAAAGTGAGATAGAAAACATCAAATTCATGTTTATTCAAACAGTGATGACGAAAATTCACTACAAGCTGAATCTCATGTACCAATCACCACACTTTCTCACTCACTCACTCGTACTAGTATAATAAGTTGAAACTAATGTTCAACAGACTATTCAGTTTTGTATTTATACGGATTAATTTCAACCAATGTCAAGTCTGAATTGAAACTATCCAACTGACTGAATATCACTGAAAACATGCACTGTCTACACACTCCTCTTATCACACTATTCATCCACACATAAACCAATTGTATGAGCTTCACAAGTTTATTCAGTGGAATTCGACAATGAAGTTGATCGCTTCCTCCAACGAATCACGAGTGAACAAGTAGGACACATTTAATTCATTCTTACTTAGTACAACTGAAGGCCAACACTAGTGATATTGTGCCACTGCATAAATACATCATCATCGATAAACACTATTCATCGCAACTCTCTAATATTCCACATGCTTCAGATGTTAACTGACTGATCAACATACTCAAATCAAATCAAGATAAATTCATCTCATCGGTCTACCAGAATTACGATGTTTACAATTATCTAATTGATTCCACATCATTTGTCTATCACAAATCCACTTCTCTAATGTGATGTGTCCGGATTCGTGTGTGATAATACACGTGAAATGAAATATGGAGAGTGATCACTCATAGCGGCCACATACAGACAGTTTGGTGACATTTCACCTAGTGTTTTTAATGGAGTAACTTAAGGAGTTACCAGTGCGTTCTTTATTAACACGATTGTGCGGAACAATTTGTAATAGGATTTCTTGTTAAGAAGTGAAACCAGTGAAACCAGCATGAGTCATAGAAGTAGTTGCTATGGGAATATCCGATCTATTCATGTGCCAGTACTAAGGAAACTAAAATCCGCGCTCACAGGAAAGTTAACCGAATGTGACAATATTCACACATTAACAGTGAATCAGTGTACTGAAGTACTCAGTTCACCGGTGCTTGTGTGTATGACCTGTCTAAGCATTCACTAGGGTCGCACCAACTCCTAGCCTGATGGAAACTGACTTCTCGATTTCTAACCTTGAAACGGTGAATTAGAAAATAACCGACCTCCCAGAGACCAGTCACATAACTACCAGTTCTATCGAAAGTAATGGTAGAACTAATGATTGAGTAAATTAGCATGTTTCTTTTAGCTTGAGGGTTCCAAATAAGGGCTTTTAATGTAAAATAAGTGGTTACATTCTTCAATTTCTCTCCTATCAACTTTCAGCGCTTCTCCCCACCTTCCTCATCCGCTGGAATCCGGTTTGTCCCCTCCCACAGTAGGTTGATGCTGATAGTGTCTAGCCAACGGATCAGAAGCATTACGCATAGACAATTTTTAACAAATACTTGTGACTTCTGGATGATGGCTGTGATAGATTTCCAAGTTTCCGTCTCATTCAATAGAACTGTCTAGACGTTCGTATTGAAAATTCTGACTTTTCTGTTTGTTGGCAGTTGTTTTCATTTCCACATATTGTTCAATTGTAGAAATGCAGCCCTTACTTGGCCGATCCGCGCCTTCACATCTACATCAGATCCACCTTGCTCGTCAATAATGCCGCCAGATTAATCGCAGGAATTAACATACCGGGTTTGGAAAGAGAGCCGTTAAGAATGTCGAACTGTTCCTTTCAAGATGTTAGAACTGCGTGCATTAACTATGAGGCGTTGAATGGACTTGATATTCAGTCGATGAGGATTTCTAATACTTTGATTAGTTGTCATGATGAAAAACAATCTCAGGGTCAATCAAAATTGTGTTCGTTTAACAGTGGTTCCTATTCTCGCGTAAATATGAACGGTGTCTCAAAATAGAATTACCAAGGAAATCACAAAGGTGAGACCAAGTTTGGCAAATGTTTATCCTTTGGAAAACCTCATTCTCGTAATTCATGTGCATTTCGTCATGCTAAATGTTTTAGATGTGGTAAGATAGGACACATTCAAGCAGTATGCAAAGCTACTGTTCATTTTGTCTCAAGTAGTACTAAATCCTGTAATATAGATCCAAATAACTCAGCTGATCCTAATGATCATTTATCCTTGTCTACCATTTCGAAAGGTACTGCTCATATTCAAAAGCGACTATATACATCAATTGGTTCATGTTATGACTTTATTGTGGACACAGGCAGTATAGAGTCCATTATTTCATTCAATAACTTGAAATCGTTAGATCCTAACGTTGTGGTCTGACCCACTGAAGTATCAATATTGGGGATTACTGGACACAGACTGCCTATACGAGGATGTTGTGAATTGCTAATAAGAGATGATAATTCCTCATACATACCTTGTGAATTTTTAGTTAGCGAAACAGGACTGTCAATACTGGGTTTAAAGAATTTGAAAAGGCTTAAAGTGTAGTTGTCTTTCCTAGTTTCTAAAGAAAATTCTGATGCTTTACTTAAAGATTCGATAGCCACGTGTGCTAAGTGCAGTGGAGGTAGGAAAATTCAGCCTATAAAACTTCAAGTACGGGATTATACAGTCTTTCTCAGAAGACGAATAATTCCTTATGGTCTTCGAGATGCAGTGCATAAGACATTGAATGACTTGTGTGCAAAAGGCATAATTAAACCGGTTCAGTCTTCTGCATGGGGTACTCCTATTTTTATGCTACTTAAATCGGATGGCAAGACTCCTAGAATATGTGGTGACTATACACTAACATCGAACTCCCGTTTGTTGAAGCAAACATGTGCGACGGTAGAGGCTGAAGATATTCTATATCGACTTCATGGTTCTAAAGTGTTCTCGAAAGTTGACCTAAAAGACGATTATCTTCAAATCCCTTTAGATCAATCCTCATCTATTTGGACGACAATTAACACTCCTTTTGGTCTGTTTAAATACAATTTCCTTCCATTTGGTCTAAGTTGTTCTCCAGCTATATTTCAGGAAGTTATGAATAAGGTGGTTAACGATCTTGAAGTTGGTGAAGTTTATCAAGATGATCTGATTGTTCATGGTTCTGATAAGGTAGTTCATGACCAGAGACTTATTGCCTTATTGCGTCGTTTAATCGAGAAGAATATTAAAGTAAATCCAAATAAGTGTTCATTTTGTGTATCTAGTTTTGAATGTCTTGGATACCTAGTTGATGGTAATGGTTTTAGACCAGATATGAAACGACTAGCTCCACTGACAAATGCACCGTCTCCAAAAAATCTTACGGAACTACGTTCACTAGTGGGTGCTCTTCAGTACTATTCCCGTTTTATTCCTAATTTTTCTTGTCATGAAAATTGTTTATTTAATATTTTGACATCCAGTTCATTCAAATGGGGTGAGTAACAACAGTCAAGCTTACCTAGTCTACTAAAGTTTCTTCAAAGTGATGCTGTTCCTCCTACACTAGTCTACAGTCTGTGCTTATCAATGATGCATCACCTGTGGGTATTGGCGTAGTTTTGGAACAGGAAGGTAGACCAGTTATTTGTGATTCACGCAGACTTACTGTTACTGAACAAGGCTATTCACAGACACAGCAAGAGGCATTATATGTTTTTTTAGGCTATTAAAAGACTTCATAAATATTTATTCGGAAAGAAATTCACTATTGTTACTGATCATGTGGCTTAACAGTTTATTTATCAGCCTGAGAAATCCTTAGCACGTGCCTCAGCTGCTATGGTTCAACGATGGAGTATTGCTTTGAGTGCCTACGACTATACGGTTCAGCACAGGAGTGCCAAGCAAATTCAACATGCTGACTACATTTCTCAACAGTCATTACAAGATAAACCTGTTAATACTTCAGACTGTTTGTTGGTGCAACATTTACCAGTGAAACGTCCAGATCTCATTAGAGAAACTCGTAGAAACTTTGGATGTATAATTCATGCTATACGGAAAGGTTGGAATGCTAATGTGAAACGCAGATTCCCTATCTATTTTTCAAAGCAGGATGAGCTATCCACTACTCCTGATGGTATTTTGTGTTTAAATGATCGTGTTGTTATTCCTCTTTCACTGCGTAAAGCTGTCCTGGAAGATCTTCATAGTGGACATTTAGGTGTTGAGAAAATGAAGTCCTTAGCGAAGCTCACGTGTTGGTGGCCAGAGATAAATGCAGATATTTGTCGTAAAGCAAACAATTGTGTAAAGTGTCATAAGCTGAAAAATCAGCATTCGAAGTGGACTCCATGGCCAGTATCGTCTGAGGCCTGGCAGAGAATTCATGCAGACTATTGTGGCCCGTTTCTTGGCAAATACTATGCGCTTGTAGTCATTGATTCTTTTTCAAAGTGGCCTGAAGTTTTTTTCACAACTTCACCAAACTCTGACTTCACAAATCAAGCATTAAGAAAGGTCTTTAGTCGAGAAGGGGTTCCAATGGTGTTAGTGACTGATAACGGCTCTCATTTTGCTGCAGATGCAGTCACTACCTGGCTAAATGGTATAGGGTGCAAACATCTGTTTACTGCTCCCAGACATCCTTGTTCCAATGGTCAGGCAGAAAATTTTTTCAGGACATTGGAAACAGCTATTGATTCTATCACAGCCTCAACATTTAATGAGCTGGAGAGGGGAGTAGATACCTTTCTACTGCAATATAGAAATGCCAGACATTCGGTGACGAAAGAGACTCCATCAAAACTATTAAAAGGAAGAATTCTTCGGTCGAATATGAGATGTTTGGAGTCTGCAGGAGTTACATATTATCGTGACAATGATCTTCGACCATCCACGGGGATTGTTCTGAAGAAAGTCGGGAAATCTATGGTGCGACTTCTAGATATCAATGACTTAAGTACACACAGTCGACATGTTGATCAAATACAATTCCAGGAACCAGGTGAGTCTGTTCCAATTTCGGTTGTTAATTCTAATACTAATGAGAGCATTCTAGATAACACAGAGCCTTTATCCAATACACTGTCGGACAGACACAGGATGAATTTGTGAAGAAGACGTACAGTTGATTACAGACACTTGGA